ATGCTGGTCTAAGGCAGAAGATGATGAGCTAAAGAACAGAGAGGGTGAGAGCTAACTCAAAGTCACACAGGTCACCCAGGCCAATCCCTATTCCAAAAATTCAACCCAGGTGTGAATCTCATCCCTGCCACTTTCAGGCTGTGAAACTCTCGGCAAACTATTTACCCTCTGAGCCTCAGTGGAAGATGAGGGTAAAAATATTATTTCATAATATTACTACAAAGATTAAATCATGAATGTTAGGTGCTTAGCACAGTGCCTGACATGCCAATGGGGCTCAATACCCATTCGTGGATATGGCAACCAGCCTCCATGGCCCCCAATGGTAACCACCTCCTCGTGTTTGTACCTAGTGTTGTTCCCTTCCAAGCTGTTATCAGGGTTAGTCTGTGTAACTAAAAGAATAGAACAGAGATGACAGGCTATTACTTCCAAGATCAAGTGGCTACCATCCTGGTGTCTCCCTTTCTTTAATCACTTGCTCTGGGGCAAGCCGGCTGCCATATTGTGAGCAGCCCTGTGGGGAGGCCCAAGTGGCAAGGAACTGAAACCTCCTGTAAACGGCCATGTAAGCTTGGAAATGGACCCTACAGCCCCAGTCAAGCCCTCAGATAGGTGTAGCCCCAACTAACAGCTTGACTGAAACCTTGTGAAACACTCTGAGCCAGAACCACCCCACTGAGTCACTCCCAAATTCCTGACCCTCAGAAGCCATATGAGATGTTTGTTGTGTTAAGTTGCTAAGTTTTGGGGTAATCTGTTATATAGCAATAACTAATGAATATAGTGGGATGTATGAAAAAACTAAATCACTTTACAATACACGATGGCCACAGGTACAAAGTGCCCCGTATCCCGAAACACTCCTGAGTCAAATCAAAGGAGCTCCCCTACCCCATTCACACATGCACAACTCTAGAGTTCCACAGTTCCCTTTTCATTCATTCATTCAGCAGCCAAACATTTGTTGAGCACTTCTTCTCTGCCAGACCAGAGTTCACACCTCACAACAAAGAGTCCCTGCTCTCATAAGAAGGTGCACTGAGTATTTGCTGAGGGTGGCTGACAGATGCACCCCTAGTAATAATAGTAGGTAACAAACTTTGTGCTGGAGGCACCAAGGACAGGCACCTGCATCCAACAGGGAATTCCTCCAAGGAAATAATCAGAGATGATTTCAAAGAGCTAGGTACCAAGGGGGTCACCGCAGTGTAGCATGTCCTAAAACAGAAATCTAGATGTCCAATAGTAGGAACAGCTGATGGTTATCCATTACTTGCCACACACCCTGCAGGCTGCTCAGTGTCCCGAGTGGGGTGGGGGCAGGGTTCAATGACAAGATGCACAAAGTCTGTTATCCTCATCTTGCCCTGCAAAAAGCTATAGGCAGAGGGAGCCCGCAGCTGGCCAGGAGCACGAGTAGGGCATGAGCCATATCTGGTTAATAGAGTACTACACAGCAATTAAAAATCAAGTCAAAGGAAACAAGTTCCTCACATGGACAAATATTCACTCTATGTTACTAAATAAAAACAGCTTGTTACCACAACAGTATATATAATTTGATACCACTTTTTTAAGGAGAAAGAACCTCCTGCCCCAATACACACACACACACACACACACACGGAGATTAAAGCAGGCAGGAAAATATTTACTATGGTTATATCTGGATAATAAATATTTATAAGTTTCTACATTTAACATGTATTATTTTTTAATTCTCCCCAAAAATTCCCTTCAAAAAAGTGGGAAATCTGTCAGGCAGGGATCAGTCCTATCCTTTTCCTTTAGGAGCTACCATGGATGGTTCCAGTGACCTGGTTCACCAGGATGAACCACCTAGGGGCAGCGGTGAAAAGTACCAAACAAAGACATTTCCCTCAATCCCTGGCTGAAGGCTGATAGGGAGCGCCCTGATTCCAAGCAGACCTGGCTCAGTGAAAGCTGGCTGAACCCAAATCGGGCTCCAGGGAGCTGCAGGCTGGAGACACAGTTTCTCATCAGATAGTTACAGGTCCCAGGAGGCTAGAGTTTCCAAATAGGAAAAGGTAAAAATAGCCTGAAGGAGGCTCCTGAACCAGATACCCAGACTCAGGGAGGCCTGTGCCTTCCCCATCCTCTCTCCCAAGTCTGGGCTTTAAATACCATCTGATCTTCTGTCAATACTGTCACTGCTACCCAAGTCGGGTCTGACCTACTCGTACCCGGACCAGCCTCCCCAGTTCACCCTACCCTGAGCAGCAACAGATCGACCTTCTTAAAATGACTCCTGCTCAAAATTTTCCATGGATCCTTATGCAGAGCTTATTAAAAATGAAGTCTCCTGGGTCAGATCTCCAGAATTCTTACCTAGCAGATCTGAAGGGGTAGGGGGCAGAAATCTGCATTTTAACCAGTGAATCTAGCAGCCACTATTAGGCACCCTCTAAGAAACGAAAGCCAGGGGAATGAGCTCCTGCTCATCTACCTCTCCATTCTCTACATCCCAAAGGCATCCTGTGCTGGGGACAGTCTCTCTGGGTAGACACATCCCCTGATTCATGTCCCAGTAAGAAATCAGTCTGATTACTGAATAACTTCAGCTTGCTGAAATGGCACCTCAACTTGATTGGAATGCTAAACACAATTCATTAGAGTAAATAAAACTGTTTTCTTACTAAGTGTCTTGTTACACTCCAGGAAAGTTTAGAACTGAAAATAGAGGGAGTAGGCTAAATCAAATACATTGTATTAATGTTCTTGTCCTAAGTTTAGTAATAATCAGTGTATACCGGTATTTAAAAGTATCTGTAACATTGAAAAGAATTTGACATGTTGAGTTTATGACAGATAAGCACTGTGATTCCAATTTAAAATATAAGTTAATATAGTTAGGTAATTGATAAAATACATGTCAGTAATTGATATGAGACTTGTGATTTTAAGTTGAGAGGTGAGCAATGGCCGGAAATATTAGCTAAATATCAAAATCACCTGGGGTGCTATAAGATTCTAAAGGTGCCCCCCATATCCTAATTTCATGTCAGAAATGTTTTTTTTAGCTCCCCAGACTGAGAACCAGTGACATAAAAGAAGTTGACTGTTAATAAAGTACTGAACTATTTACAAGAACTTAAAATTCATTTTGCTTATAGGTTTAATTTATTAAATTTTCTAGAAACTAAGTATTCTGGGGAATTATGCTTATGTTATGTATCTGAAGTACTTAAAAAGAAAATTAAATATATAAAATTTATAAATGGAATTAAATGTGTAAGAGAATGTAATTAGGCTGTAAATAGGGCTGAATGTTTAAGGGACTTTAGTTTGTTCAACTTGAGTTCAAAGATTAATCAAAGGAAAAGTTAAGGTAATTTTTCTTATTTTCTAGATCTATCTACAGAATAATAATTTCTAAGTTGAATTTGATGGCTTACAGAAAATTAGGCTTTTAAAAATTGTTGCTCCAAAGAGAATTAACTAAAAAGACCAAAAATAAAATCAAACAAGCCACACCTTAACTCCGTGTTCTTCCCCACCTACCCTACCTAAAATAATTCCTCTCTCCTCTGAACTTCCCATCAGCCAAATTTGTTGTTAGCAAGACATAAGTATTCTTTCCCAGAAGCTTCATATCCTGTCCCAAGGGGCTACTAGGATGCTTCGTAAATAGAAAATAACTGCAGTAAGGATAACTCATCCTGGATGTAGAACATTTCATTTTCCCTCCCAGTCCCCTAACAAGGCATTACTGTGAGTTGTACAGGTCAGAGGCAGTTCTAGGTCTCGAATCCAGTCCTTGATTTTTAATGCCACATCTATGCCAATGACTTTTATTTCTGGTTCAGACCTCTCCTCTGAACTCCAGATCCAAATCCTCATTTGCCTCCAGACTATAAGGGGCAGGTCAAATTAAAGGTGGCCAAATAGAACTTAAGATCGTCCCCATGGATTTTAAATTGTTGAGGTCAAAACTTAGGGCTTGATTCCTCTGTCCCACACACCCTAGATGTCTGTCAGCTTGTTCTGTCTGTCCTACCTCCTCAAATACCTCCCAAATTTGATCACTACTCTAACCCACATCCTAATCTAAATTACCATCCTGCCTCAACTGACCCACTACAGTAACTTCCTCTCTTTAGTCTGTTCTCCAGAGAACAGCCAAAATTATGACATTAAAGTGTAAATTAGATCATGTCACATCCCAGACTAAAACCCTCAGGGGCTTCGTAGTGCAATTAGAAAAAATAAGACTCCTTACCATGGGTTACAAGGCCAGATATGAGCTGACCCCAACCCGCCTCTTCACAGTCCACTCCTTTCCTTCAAACACCCAAGACTGCAGAGACTCAAGGCCTTTGCACCCACGTTTTCCTGTCTGACCTACTACTATTCATTCAGGTCTCTGGTTAAGTGTTACCCTGTGCACCCTGGCTAAAATAGCACCTCCACCCCCTCCCAATCAACCTGCTTTCTGCTCTTCACAGCATTACTTCACCTCCCATTCATCCACACATAGTAGAATGAGCGCTCCATGAGAGCAGAAACATGTTCACCGCTGAGTTCCCTGCGCATAGCCCAGAGGAGGCGCTCAGAAAATATTTGTTGAACAGCCCCAGTACTTCAAAGCCCTTGCTCTTTCTATTCCCAAGAAGAAATGAGTGGAACCCCCTTGTAGGTCAGGGTTCTCGGCTGCGAAGCCCAAGGATAAGGAAAATAGGAAGTAGGGGCATAAGTTCCCCTTCCCTCGAAGCCCAGCAGATTCATCCCCCAGGACTTGACTTTTGCCACAAGCTCCAACTCTAGGGCAGGACTTGGGGATGATAGAGGAGACAGTGAGAAAGACGAGCCGAGGACCCGGACGCCAAGACCCTCCTCGCCCCTCTATCCACTCCCCATCCTATCAAATGGTGCGACATGCCGCGGGGCTCTCAGGCTTAAAAGAAAGAGCCCAAACCGCCCGTGGGGGACGCGGGTAGACTAAGACTCGCCCTTCGCCGTCCGGCCAAAGAAGGTACCTGGCTCTTCTGGGCCCGACCTCTCCGAGTTCCTCCTCCTGTGCCCTAGCGTCACGAACTGCTTGCTGGGATTCGTAGTCCTTCCTTGGGTATCAGTCTGTCCTTCCCACAAACCTTTGGGACTCAAAGCTGAAAGAGCGCAGGAGCGGGGAAAGCGCGAGGCCTTCTGGGTGTTGTAGTTCAAAGTAGTCAATCGGGAAGACATTACTGCGGAGCAACATTGTGTAATAAATCTTACCAAAATAATTTTGGCTGCCTTGATCTGAATATTATGAGAATTTCCTCTCACACAAGCCATGCATTACCTCCGTGGGTCAAAACGACGAGCACCGAGATTCAGAGGAACTACAAATCCCATAAAGAGTTGCTCGTTGAGGGCAGAGGGGAAGGTCGACCGCGCAGACGCTGTGGCGCGATTTTGGCCGTGAGGAAATATGGCGGCTTCGACGTTTACTGGGAGGTTGTACTCTTTGCTATTCCGCAGAACCTCCACCTTCGCCCTCACCATCGCCGTGGGCGCCCTGTTCTTCGAACGCGCCTTCGATCAAGGCGCGGATGCGATCTACGAGCACATCAACCAGGGGGTGAGAGCCTAGGCCAGCCCTGACCTTGGGCCCGCCTGTGGGGTGACAGTGACAGTGAGAGGGAGGTGGGGCGAGACTCAGTGTACCTTTGCGAGGAAGGTGGCGGGGGGCGGGGGGGCGGTGTGTGTGGAGTAAATGCTGTACTGCTTGGGCGCCCCGGAGTGGAGGTGGGGCGAGACTCAGTGTACCTTTGCGAGGTACACTGGTGGCGGGTGTGTGGAGTAAATGCTGTACTGCTTGGGCGCCCCGTGTCTGTAGACTGCTATCTGTCCTCTCTTCCCGGTGTGAATCCTGGAACGTTAAATGGGATCAATAGATCCCACTTTGCCGGGGTTGTAAATATTGCGATCTCCCACGTACCCACTTTTCCATTTACAGAAGCAAAAACTAAAGCCTAGTGAGAGCAGACGTACTATGGCTACACCACCAGGAAGTTAGTGGCGAGTCAGGGCTGGAACCTAGGCTCCCTTTCTTAGAGTTTCAAGGGCAGATTTGAGCGGGCAATGGTCGCAAAAAGGATGTGTCCCTGAGACATTATGGTTGGCCTTTTCAGATAGCACTTTCGGTTCCCAAGGCTTCTCACGCAGGCAGCGTGGTATTAATTATGGTTAAGAGGGTGGGCTGTGAAATTAGAGAGCCCTGGATGGGAATACTGGGCCTTATCACTCAATAACTGTAACATTAAGTTGAGCAAGTTTCTTAACCTCTGGGTTTCACTTTTATATGTGAAAGAGAGATCATAATAGTAACTACCTCGGCATTATTGTGAGGATTATTTGAAGTACAGGCCAGATGCCACAGTGCCTGTTAGGTGGTACCACTCAGAAAATAATATGTGTTATATTCCTCAGGAGAAAATGGAAGCATAAGGTAGAGAATAACATCATTTAGACTCATTGTATACCAATCACCGTGCTAAGTACTCTGCATGCTTTATATTATTGAATTGTGGCTCATACTGGAGAAGGTCTTGTACGGATAGCCTTGTTCTACCATTCACTCACGTTTGTAATTTTTGGCTTTACAGCCAAGGCAGACCCTGTCCACTAATGCTGTGGCCAGGACAACTTTCTGCTCCTGTGAAAGTGCTGCCACTGTTCTATCTCCTGTAAGCATTTCCATTGGCCGTTCCCAGTGTTTGGGAAAGGCATCTGATTACATTGTCATAACCCACCTTCTGCGCTTTTAGGAATGAAAACAAAAAATGTCTCAGTCTGAGGTACTTAGGGACTATGTATTTAGGACCTTTTGAGTAATACGTGGGAGTTAAAGAAATGGGACATATTCCAGGCTCTGTTCCTCAATTTCCTGGAGAAGTAAAATCATCCCTCCCCACTTATTTCACATAGTGATTGAGAGCATCAAAAGCATTTTATAAATGTTAGGAATGTGTGTCTAGTATTGCAACCAGTTTGCCCACCACAACTGTCAGGACATGGTACGTATTTTTCTCATTGTTTTAGAGACCAGGGCAGTAAGAGTATAGTTGTCCAATGTGAGAAGCAAAACTAAAAGTTTGTGTCTCTTGTCTTTAAAATGCAGAAGCTGTGGAAACACATTAAGCACAAGTATGAGAACCAGTAGTTCCTTGGAGACCCCCATCAAAGCCAGAAGGACCAGATCCACCACCATCCGTTTGCCCAGAGCCAGGGCCTCAGCTTGAAGATGATCCTTACGTCTCTCTCCACAGACCACCTTTAGCTGTTGGCAAGAAATAGCTTCACCTGACAGACTCTTTAACTTCTGCTCTGTTTGAAGTATGTTTAGTCATAGCCATCAGCAAATAAATGTAAATTATTCTTGAGACCTGCTTCTGCATTGGATGCTTTGTTAATTCTGACTGATCTTCACTTGTCAGTTATTTGATACAATTTCATAGTCCTCTGCAAACATCTGAAGGGCAGATTCCATGATTTTGAGTTTCCCGTTAACTTACAAAGAATTCTGGTTTTCAAAACATTAGCTAGAGTTGGAGATGTTAGCTTAAACTTTGGCTTCTAAACCAGTATTTCCATTCTTAAATCACATAGAAGGGAGCTGACTGGCTTGGCTGTGGGGAAGCACCGTGCCCTCAGCTGGGGAAAAACCCTGGCCCAAGGGTCTTGGGACACCCCATGCCCCAGAGTCTAGTCTCCATGCTGCCTTTCACTTGTTGAGTATCTTTGGATAAAGCTGCCATATTTCTCTGGGCCACAGCCTATATTCTGATGATTAATTTGGTCCAAAATTCTGAGCCTTCTGCTGGAGTTCTGCCCTTTAATGAGTTTGGTTTATCGTCATGCTCACTTGGGTTTGAATGCTCACTCCATCAATTCTAGCTGTGTGAACCAAGGGCGAGGCACTTGACCTTGCTAAGCTTCAGTTTCCTGGTCTATAAAATGGAGATAATAGGAGTACATCTGTGTGGGGTTTCTGTGAGCATTAAAGGAGTTATTAAATGCAGGTAATATAGTCACAGATCCTGGCACATGGTAAATGGAAGTGAGATGTGGGGGATGCTTAAGGACCCAAAGAACCAGAAGATTTCTACTAGAAGGCTGTGGAACCATAGGAATGTGAGGAAGAGGGCTTCAAGGAATATATTCTGGTCATTTAACAAATGGGTGGCTACTGTGTGTGAAGTACTGAGTTATGTTAGTGCTGGGCACGTGGTGAATAGAACATGGGGTTTGAACTCCTACTGGAGACACTAAATGCCATTGATGTATATGTTACAGACTGGGCCAAGGGTTCTGGGGAAACAATCCAAAGAGAATAACTGAGTGATGGAGTAATTGAGGGAAGCCGCAGGAGAGGTAACATTGGTGATAAAGATGCGTCACTTAAGTTGGGAGTTGGAGGCAAAGCAGAGAAAAAAGCAGGTTTAAAGGCACAAAGTGGGGAGAGCCCTTGCTGAATTTAGTGGGATCAGGTCATTCAGGACCTGGTGAGTCACAGTGAATAATTTGGATTTTACCAAAATTATAATGAGTTGCTACTGAAAAAGTCTTAAGCTCTGCCTTATTAAAACATTCTGGCAGCTCTGAGATGATTAGATTGGAAGCAGGCAAGAGTGGAAACAGAATAGTTTGGAGGTTGTTGCTGCACTCTTTATTAGAGCTGATAGCTGTAAGAGACCTTGGAAAACATGAGACATGTTTGGGAGGCAGCAGAGGAAAGCACTGAGCAGGTGTGGAGCAGTTCTGTCTTGTAACTGGCCTGGGATCTTTCACTCAGCCCTGGCATGATTCAGGGGAACTGATGGAGGAAGTGTCAGGCCAGGAAACCCATGCAGAAGAGGGAGAGACCCGAGGAATTAGCCAATTTGTCCTACCTGAGGCATATCTTTATGAGATTAAGTCAAGGCCTAGAGGAATAACCTTCCAAAGGTGATACAGCTCTGGGGTCAAATCAAGACCTGAACCATTCTAAGAATAGAATGATTTCAACATCAAATAGAGGATAATCCCAGGGTTGATGGTAGTCACTACTTACCTTCACATTTTTCCCAACTATGTGTTGGCAATGTGCTGGTAAAAAACAATAAAGCAGGGAATATTCTTGTAGTTATTCTATGTTACTCTTTGGCACCTGCTCAGAGCAGCAGAGACAGACAAGCTTAGTTGGTCACCTGTTTCAGGTGGGGCACATTCTGACTCAGCCCAACAAGCAAGCAAGGGCGTCCATAAGCCGTCAGTCAACAGTTAAGATGTCCTATTATTTGCCATCAGCATTTCTGAGCTGTGTGTGTGTGTGTACATGCTTCTTTTTAATAAGAGCTGAAGGTGAAAATGATAAACCCTTTTCTACCTATTGTATGGGATTAAATAGTGTCCCCCCAAAATTCACATCCACCTGGAACCTCAGAAGGTGACCTTATTTGGAAAGATTCTTTGCAGATATAAATAGTTAAAGATGAGGTCATACTGAATTGGGGTGGGCCTTAAATCCAGTCACTGATGTTCTTTTAAGAAGGCCTTGTTAGGACACACAGAGAAGAAAGCTACACAAAGACAAAGACAGAGATTGGAGTTACATCATAGGCCAAGGGATGCCAGAGATTGCCAGCAACTACCAGAAGCAAGGAAAGAGGTGAAGAAGGATTCTTCCCTAAAGACTTCAAAGAGGAAAGGTGACCTGCTGAAACCTTGATTTTAGAGGTCCAGCCTCCAGAATTTGAAGAGAATAGGTTTCTGTTGTTTTCAGCTTCTCAGTTTGTGCTCATCTGTTAACGGCAGCCCTATCAAATTGGCCAAGCAAAAGAATGATATATCTAACTCTATCGAGGACGTAAAGAAATGGCACTCATATACTATTGACAAGTGCGTGAAGTGGCACCATATGTGTTAAGAGCCTTCATGTGCATACCTTTGACCCAATAAATACCATTTCTGGAAAATTTTCCTTAAAAAGTGCATGTCCACAAAAGATATTCATCGTGGTGATGTTTAAAACATGGGGGAAAAATGAAAACAAGTAAAATATTCAAAAGAGGAATTACTATTGAGGTAAAATATAAAACCATGTTTTAACTAGAAGAAAATGTCCAACAAATCTGGCCAAGTACCAGCCTCACTAATTTATGAATCAGTCTTCAAAAACAATAAGAAAAAGATGAAGAACTCAATAGAAGCTAGGGCAAAAAATGAATAGGCAGTTAAGACAAGAAATACAAATGGCCGCAAACTTAAGAAGATTCCCAGTTTCACAAATAAACACAAAATGAAATACCAGTTTTTGCCCATCATATCAACAAAGATGAAAAAGATTAGCAACACCTGTCTTTTAGTGAAGGAGCAGGCACTGCTCCTGGGCATTGGAACAAAGGTTTTTTTTTTTTAGATGAGGCAACTGTTGGTTGACCTCACCTACTGCAAGGACCTTGTCAGCTTACAATTAATTTTTTTATTTTTTACACCTACAGCACCTGGTCTTCCTAAATGGTCTCCCATCCAAGTATTAAATAGGTCTGACTCTGCTTAACTTCTGAGATCAGGATTGTTCAGGGTAGCATGGCCGTACGCGGAACAAAGGTTTTAGACCACAGTTAGGCAACATCTATTTTAATTGTTCATTCTTTTTGACCTTGATACTCTGCTTCTAGAAAAATCTCTAGAATCACATGTGCACATGCACACACATACAAAGTCGTTGGAGTATTGTTTGGAATTAAAATAACAAGAAGAAAACGATTCTTCAATAGGGGAGTAAGTTAACTAAACAAGTAGATTCAAACCATAGAAATTTATGTAGACGTTAAAATGACGGAGGCGACTCAATGTGTAGCAATAAAGAAAAATAAAGTAAAACAGAAATCAAACTGCATAATGGTATGGTTAGTTGTTTAGTTTGATCCCATATATGCAAATGACACATTAATATATGTACACACAAAATAGCGAGGGATGTGCATTAAACACTTCACAGTGGTTATGTGCGAGGGGTGGGATCTCAAAGAACTCTCACTCTATGTAATAGATATCTACTTTTTTCCTTGCAACGAGCAGGTATTCTAACCCAAAGATATTTTATAAAAAGAAATCAATAGAGTAAAAAATGTGTAAGGCAAATATTCACATAAGAAAATGGTCAAAATAGAAAGCTAAGTAGAAAAAGCAGGTCACAAATTTATGTAGTGCATGATACTTTTTTTTTTTTGCAAAAATGAATAAGAAAAAATGGGAAATGTTCACATCGAATTGTTAACAGTGATTAACTTTAATGGAGTTTTATTTTCCTTTGTATTTCTCTCTGTTTTCTAAGTTTTCTGCATCAAGCATGTATTATTTTCAGAATGAGTAGTATAAATAAAAAGGGGCCCAGAGAGAGTGTGAACACGGAAATGCAAAATGTGAGCCCCCAGGGCTCCCCTTCCTGAGATCCCCATGCAGACTTGCCCTCGAGCATCACTGCCAAATGAGAGCAGGGACTTCCCAGAGCTCCTTGAGTGTGTCTGCCTCACAGGTCGCAGGATGTGAAGATTAGCACCCTCCTCAAACTGGCACTGACAAGCTGTTTACTATTGGAAAAAAGTTCTCTCTTCCAAGGTCAGCCTGAGGCATTTCCTGGAGTCAAGAGCTGAGACTGTCTTTACAGTTAGAAAACCCCAAGGGCTCTCCCCACCTGCTCCCCTAGCACAGGTGTCAGGAAAAGCTAAATGCTTGGGTGTCTCATAAAGTTAGTTCCAAGGTCTCTGAAATCCTCTCCTGAGAATTTTACATCTGGTATGTCTCTGAGTAAGCAGTATTGCTCTCTGGGTTAAGAGTATTTGAACTGATGTCTTATTTTCTTAGCTTCTTTCTTGGGTCCAAAAATATCTCTCCAAACTGGTACAAACTATTCATTCATTCGGTCAGTCATCCAACCATTACAGCTTTATTGAGCTCCTGTTCTTCCCGGTACCTTCCAGACCTTGGACATATAGTGAAGAATGAGAAAGAGCCCTACCTCTTGGAGCTTACATTCTAGTAAGGGAGACAGGCAGTAACAAAACACTAAATAAAAATTTCATTTTACAATAAAGTTTATGAATAAAATAGAACTGGGTAACGTATAGAGAGTGACTCAGGTGATGAGTAACATGAGATGCTCAGGTAGGTGGTCAGGGAAGATTTCTCCAAGGAGATGACATTTGAGCTGATACAGCTAGGTAAAGATCAAGAGTAAGAGCATTCCAGAAAAAGAACAGCAAGTGCAAAGGCCCTGAGGTGGGCACGAGCTTTGATTATTTGCTGAACTGTAGGCAGGAAAGGAGTGTTAGAGTTAGATGCTGTATGATCTTGTAGGCCATGCTAGAAGAGTTTGGATTTTATTCTAAGAAGTGAGGA